TAACAGTAATGAAAATATTTGAATTTAAAATAAAATTATTGTTTTTACTGTGTGAATTTTTTTAAAAATATATGATGATGTAATGGTGAGAAAATTTTTTGATAATTATTTTATAATTTATTTGACTAGTAACAAATTGTTTTATAAATTCTTAAAAAAATAAATTTAAAACAAATTTTTCTAAAAGAATTTTGCAAAACTTAATTTATTTGAAAAGAAAAAAAAATATATTTATGAAAAAAAAATCCAACCTTAAAAAAATTTTAAAAAAATTTTAAAAACTTATTTTATTCAAAAAATTGCTTCAAAAAAACACAAAAAAAAACAATACTTTTTTATATGACAAAACAAAATAAAAAATTATCATTTAGCATACAAAATCATTTCCATTTCTAAAAAAAATAAAAAAATTAGTAAAGAACCTAAGTCCAAAAAAATCTCTCAAAAAATAACTCAAGAAGATTTATTTATTCCAAAAAAATGAAGAATTCATTCTTAAAAAAAAAGAAGTAAAATCAGTAAGAAACCCTAAAGAAATCCCAAAGAAAAAACACAAAAAGCCTTACCTATTCTAAAAGAACAAAGGATCTGTTCCTAAAAAAAAAGAAATAAAAATCAGTAAAGAGAAGAAAGAAACCCTAAAGAAATCCCAAAGAAATCCAAAGAAATCCAAAGAAAAAATCCAAGAAAACTTACTTATCTGAAGGATTTGTTCCTAAAAAAAAAAAAGTAAATCAGTAAAAAGAAGAAAGAAACTTCTAAAGAAATCCTAAAGAAATCCTAAAGAACCCACTATAAAAAAGAAGACTTACCTAAAAGAACAAAAGATCTGTTTCTAAAAAAAGAAGCAAAAAGAAAATTAGTAAAGAAAAAAAACCTACTCTCTGAGGAATGCTCCTATAATTTAAAAAAAAGTTTTTTAAAAAATTTTAAAATTAAAATTTTAATATAAATAAACTAACCTAAAAAATAAATTAAAATAAAATTAAAAAAAAACCATGTAAAATTAAAATTAAAATAAATGATTAATCAATAATCAGATTTTCCAAATATTTGATAAATATTTAAATTGCAATTTTGATATACTGAAATAATTTTTGATATTTAAAATCAGTCAATTAATTTCAAATATTTGATTTTTTTTATTTGACAAATAAATATTCAAATATTTTATTTTCAAATGGAAATCCTATCTAATTCTTCATTAGATTCTTGTTTCGAAATTTCTTCCTATAATTTTAAAAATTTATTTAAATTAAAGTATATAAAAAGAAATTCATTAATAAATATTTTAAATATAAATATCTGATATAATTACTTTTTAGTTTCTTTAATTGTAACAATAATTATTATTTGTTTATTTTCTACTACTACAATTTGATAATCTTTTAAAAAATTTTTCAAATACTTCTTCATTACCTAATAGTATTCCAGCCTATTTTTATATTTCTATTTTATTTTTAAAATCAATAAAATTTGAATTTTCTAAATTAAAATTAGTTATTATAGAAGGTAATATTTGTTAGTTTTGTTTAATAAATATACGTAATCTAAAATCTATTTGTGCTAGTTATAATGACTGTGGTGATTATAATTCTTGTGATATTAATGATAGTTAAAAAGAAATATTATTGATTTCTTTATTAGCTGCTTTAATATCTCTATTGATTTGACTATTACATGCTAAACAAAGTGTAAATTGATATGATAACTCTATATTAATTTATATCCATATTTTTGATTACTCTGTAATATAAATCTTTTCATTTTAATATGTATTTTTTCAGGTTTATAAGCTAAGTTTTGAAAATAAGATACTTTTACAATCTGATTATTTTTTGATAATTTGATAGTTTTATCACAATCTCAATTTATTAATGTTAAATTTATACCACAATATATGTATAGTTGACATGTAAAATATACATCTATTTGATAATTTTTTGGTAAAATTAAAGTAGAAGTCATTTTTTTATGAATAAAAATTTATGCAATACTAATTTTTTATTTAAAAATTCTACTATAATTTGATTGGTCAATATTATAGTTATATAAATTTCAGGAGTTTAAATTATTTTTTTTGTAATCTTCATTTATTTTTTAGAAATTGCATTATTTTAAAAATAGCGATAAAAAGAATCTTTTTAAGAATGAATATATTTAGAATGTATGTAAAATGTTAAGAAAATGGTAAAGAGTTTTATCCTTATCTAACAAATTATATATATTATAATGTATGTGAATCTTTGATATTCTGAGAGGCTTATAGATGATTTATTCTATCAAAATAATCACTTAAAAAAATGTATTAGTAGAAATACTATTTCTAATAAATATACAAAATGAAAAGAAATTCTCTAATTTATTGATAGAAGGGAATTTAATATCTGATAATATAAATAATATATATTACAAAAAGAGAATGAAATAAAGTATCTCTAACTGAAGTTTTTATTCCAATTTAATTCACATTCAAAAAAAAATAAAGTTGCATTAATATTATATGAATATAATAGTTGATTAACTAGTTGTGAAATATATAAAGTGACTATAGCAAAAAATACTATGCCTATAATAGTGATAAGCTGTTTATTTTTCTATTACTATAAAAACCTGTTATATTTAGAGTTCTGAATGAGCTGAGCCAATTTTTGAGTCAAATAAATGAGTTGAGTCAAGTTGAATTGATTCAAGTCAAAAAAATTTTGACTTTTTTAACTTTAGTCAATTTGAGATAACTCAAATCCAAAGTCAAGCTGAACTCAAATAAAAATTTAACAATTTTTTTAAAGGAAGTATAAAAATCGTTTAGATAAAATAATATACATATTTCTAAAAGAATAATAAAAGTTTATTCTGATAAAACAATAAATCATCATTTTATAGGATTGATAAAAAAAATCATTTATAGTATATTGTTTTTAGAAAAGATAGAAGAATTGTTCTGATAAAATGATAATATATTATTCTAATAAAATGATGTTTTATCATTCTATCAGAATGATTCTTTTATTATTTCTTTAAATAATGCATTATCATTCTATCAAAACAATTTTATTTATTATTCCTTAAGAACAATATTTAATTATTCTTTTAGAATGATATTATTTATCATTTCTTTAAAATGATATTTTATTGTTTTAAAGAAACAATTTATTCTATCATTCCTTTAGAATGATATATTATCATTCTATCATAATAATTTTATTTATCATTTCTTTAAAACAATATTTTATTATTCTTTTAGAATGATTTTATTTATTATCCTTTTAAAACAATATTTTATCATTTTATCAGGATCAGGAAAGTAACTTTACAACTGAATTAATATCTCATTTTAATAACTTATTCTGTTACAGTACCTTCTGTTTGGATTTTAGATCGGTAATGATAGAGTCCATTTCCTAGACTACTAAGGTTATTTGTATTAGTATAAGAATTTGTAAGGTCAGTTTTGATTTAGTTTAGTTTTTATTATTTTCAATTTAAATTAAATTAGATAAAATTTTTCATTTTTTTATGTGTTTATTTTTGTACTTTTGTATAAATTTATCAATACTGCATATTTTAAAATAAAAAAATAATCTGATTAGAAGCTGAATATTAATAAAGTGATATCAATAAGAATATATTTTTATAACATCTAATTGGAACCTAATATTTTATATTTGCATTATTATTCATCATCAATCAGGATCACTTGATGTTAAAAACAAAAAAAAATAGAAGACCAATCAGGTCAAATCTAGCAACTCAGGTTTGATCCAATTGGTCTTCTATTTGTTATAATTTGACTAAATAACTATTATATATTAGTATATTTATAATAAAATTAGACAATTTTATCAAAAAAATAAAATTTTAATTTTAAATTAGATAAAGCTCAATTTGATATCTAATTTACTATATTAAATGCTAATTCAGATACTAATAAATCCTTTCTTTTTTTTGTAATTAATATTTAATTTCAAAATTGCTATTTAATTTGAAGACAAAACCATATAAAAAATACTTTAAACATTTAATTGATATTTTATTATTTATTATTTATTAACATAATAAAAAAACTTTATTAATGAACATATTATTTATTTAGCTAATAAAAAATATAATTAATTATATTATTATTGAATCTGATAATTACAAATGATTTTAGCTTTTTAGTTTTTAATTATTAAATTTATTATAGAATAATAAAATATTTATTAGCTTATAATGAATTAATTTTATTATAAATATATTTATTAACAATTTAAACAAATTAATAAAAAGTATTTTAATATAAAAATAAATAAATATTATTATTTAAGAAAAGTAATTATATAAGTTAAGAAAATATTCAAAAAGTTGAATATTATATAAAGTGAGTATTTTTATGGATATAAAAATTTATAATATTTTAAATATTTTAAATATTTTAATTATTCATGAATTTACTTCTTTTTCAAAAAAAAAAGATATGTTTGTCATTATTAAAATATATCACCAAGTACATTTACACTTTCTAATTATATAATAATAATAAATAAATAATAATATATTAATTAATAAACAAGGATCATGTAAAAAAAGTAATAATAAAGAAAAAGTGGATATACTATTATTTTAAGGGAGTTATTTTATATGTATTTATAAACATTTAATATGATGATTGTTTTTATTAAAATACTACCGAAAGATAGATGCCAAACTTTCAATAAAAAATGTGGCATTATTTTCACGTCTTATCGATTGTTTGTCGTCATTGTATTATTAGATTAATTTACTAAGATCTAAATAATTCTTTGTGAGGATTTCATTGCAGATTATATTATTTGTTAATTAAAAACGTTTGGACAAATTACGATCATAGCGGGTCGATCAGTTTTTATTAGTGTAACAACGAAGTTTAGCTCATCAGACACCAATTATTTAACCCCTGCCTTAAATAATTTAACATGCAGTGATTTTCGGATAAGGTGGGGAAATTTAGTTTTGACAGTAATTTGAAATACGAGGTCATGAGGTGTAAGTGAGAAGGTGAAAAAGGAAAGATTTAGCAAAAAGACAAGGAAATTTGGGGAGAATTGATTGAAATACAAAGATATCTGGAACAAAATTTTAACTGAATATGAAACAATACCTCTTCAAATAATTTTAACAATGAACAATAACTTTAAAAAAAGGAAATTGATTATTTGTAACATCACTTTATAAAAAGATTTTCAAAATAACTGATTTGAACTGAAAAAAAAATTTTTGGCGGGAAATTTTTAAAATGATAAACAAATTTTTTTTTTTCGTTGAATGATAAGAAATCATCAAGAAAATCCTTTGGATATATCCATTGTAACACTATTGTATTCAATCAACAAATATGGCGGACGAATTTATTTTGGCGCCATTTTTTTTTACACAAGTTATTACACGACATTATTTGCATGCTCGCGTGGTGATTGGTGCGAAAAACAAAAACATTGACTTATTTGATTAAACACGGGATTTGTCGGGGAACTTGAAGGTTAACCTGATGTAGATGTTGAATGAACACGGTATGATAAACTCTATGATCCATGTGCTATTCATTGTCTCAGTTATTGTCATTAGTAGACCAATATTACGGATAAAAGATAATGAAGTTTTACGACATAAGTTAAATTAATTGTGCTAGGTTACAAGGTATGAGGAAACAGTTGTTAAATACCCCATTGTGTTTTTGTCTAATTTTGTTAGTGTTCACATTTTTCCCGCCTTTTTCTCCTCCTCTTAAATTCAAAATGATTTATTTATTTTTGATTATTTATTTATTATTTGATTTGTGATATCATCTCCCAACGTCTCATCTCCGGATTTGACGATAGGCTCCTCCAAGGACAAAAAAAAAAATTCGGACATTGTATTAAAATGTTGTTCGACTTTTATGGAAAAAAGAATAATTGGACATTTTATTATGAGGAAATCAAACAATAGATTAAAAGATCTTTTTTTTTGGTCATTCCTTTTCGTCCTAAAATTGCACCAATCAAGTCAAGAGTTCATTGTTATTAACGAGGGAAGAAATAGGGGACTAAATGATCCTTGTATAAGTTATTTTTATAGGTTTATTGTTTGCATAATATATGTATAAGTTGAACCAACCTATATTAAGTTTGAAACAGGTTTCCTTTGCAAAAATATGTTGTGCACCATACAAACTTTCTTTTAAGATCCACAAAAAAATTTATTATATTGTTTTTTTTTATATAAATACGTCGTGTCTTCAAAAAGCCCGTGTGTGTTTTTCCCCCCCTTTTTTTTTTATTCATGGAAATTTTATGAAAATTTTTTAATTTATTGTTTCTTTTGTTTGCGGACTTTAACAAAGAATTTGTATGCCTTGTTATAACCTTATTTGATAATCATATGCCCCTTTACCTCCATTTCCTTCATTTTTTGTAACTCTTCTTTTTCTTTTCCGATCAATTAATATCACAATATATCAATGTTCTTTATTTTGTAAACTTTGAGGTATGTTGTTATGGTTATTGATGTTTTGGTTTATTCCTTAATATCCGCTATTGTTTCCCACTGTCGTGTTTGAATCATTATTAATACAGTTTTATTAATGAAGATTAATTAGTATTCATTGATTTCGTGAATTATTGATTTGTCGTTATTCTTTATAAATGAACAATACTTCTTCGTTATAAATATTGTTTGATTTATTTGCCCTTCAACCAATTTTTTTCTTTTTATTTATTCATTTTGTTTTTGGAAAAAAAAAAATTTAACATTGTATCACTAATAAATTTTTGTGCCACTTCTTTCTTTATATATATATATATACGATCGCAATAATCAATCTTTATTTTTTTTTTATTTTTTTATTTTTTTATTTTTTTTAAAAAAACAAAAATAAAAAAAATAAAAGGGTATAAAAAAAGTATTTCATATTATTTTGCATGGTAAAGGTCAAAAAAAAAAAAAAAAAAAAAAATGATTTCTACAGACTCTACTGCGCAAAAAAATCCTTCAGTCTCTTTGAATTCTCCAATTATTTCCTCATCGTCTCCTGTTGCAATCGTTAATAATGGAAACGATATGGATGAAACTCAAAATTCTTCCCCACCGTCTTCATTACCTTCAACTCCGACCCCTCAACCGCGTCTTTTAAGTGATATCGATAATGATAGCGTCGATCCTTCCATCATTACGATTGCAAGTAATGCTTTGATTGACAATGCTCGTTCAGCCGCTAGCATTTCAAACCTTATAAACCATGATGAAGAACAACGAATCAATACCAATTCTCCAAAGTCACAACCAACTTCGCAAATTAGTAGCAGATCAATCTCTCCTGCTCCGGAAACTCCTCATAATAATCCAAATAACAATAAGAATCATAATGTAAATCAAAAATTTATTGCTGTTAAATTTTATGATACCAACAATACTGATTTTACTCCTTCTATTACAACTACTACTACCACTACTACTACTTCCTTTACAAAAAAGAAAAGGAAAGGTGTTCATGATAATGATGAGAATGACATTAGTAATAATCGTGATTTTGATACTTCAAAGCGATTGCGATGTAATTTGAAAAATCTAACCTTAGCTGATGGAAATTCAGATGAAATTATTAGAATTAATCATATTAACGATAACGATTCTACACCTCCTTCACCTGTTACTTCTTCCGGATTTGATGAAATGATTATTGATGATCATCATTCTGATGAGTGTTCTGGTGCAAATTCTCCAACAAATTCCTCTATGAGTGGTGCCACTTCTTCCGTGGGAAATAATATAAATTTCGTTACAAAACAAACAAGAAAGAAACCATATATTCCTCGTCCCCCAAATTCTTTTATCCTTTATCGTCAACATCATCATCCTTTAATTCTTAATAAACATCCCGGTATAAATAACTCTGAAATATCGAGAATTATAGCTGACCATTGGAGAAATTTATCAAACCAAGAAAAAGGTGAATGGAAAAAAAAAGCCGAAGAAGCTAAGGAACGTCATATGAAGGCTTGGCCAGATTATAAATATCAACCTAGAAGAAGAGTGGTTGGGCCTACTTTTAAAAAACCGTTGAAAGGTCCTGGTGCCCCTTCTTCTTCTATAAAATCTGATGCTTTTAGTGCACAAGAAGGCATGATGGACAATTTTGTTATTGAACTTTCGAAATTACCATCGCATAGAAAAATAGGTCATAATGAACCTTTTAAGCATCCGTCCGTTATCATTATTGAAGGAGGTTCAAAGGAATTAAATAAATTAGGTAATTTTACGTATATGCATTTTTATTGTTTAAATTTTTTTTTTAAAAAAAAATCACTTATTTATTTTATTTTTGAATCGGATGTTAAGACCGCAACGGAAATAATAACCAAAGAAAACCTTCGCCTGCTGAAGCGATTAAAGCGAAATTAGGACTTCCAATAAATCAACTTTCCACATCTTCCTCTCCACAAAGATTGCCTCCACCACATACATTGGTATCACCTCAATTACACTCCTTGTCATCATCTCAACAGCAAACAGCGACAATTCTTCCTGCGACACCATCATCATTGCCATTATCATCATCTTCTTCTTCTTCGGTCTCATCACGTGGAGCACTGATCGTTCTTGAAGGTTGTGAGGATAGTACCGCTTTACAATCTAATCAATTATACGAGTTCTTAAAGAATGAAGGTATAAGGGCAAGGTTGTGCAAATTCCCTGATTCTACAACACCTTCTGGAAACGCTCTCAAACTATACCAGTCAAGTAATCGTCAACCAAATCCGAAGACACTTCATTTACTTATTGCTGCTCATTGGTGGGAAATAATGTACGTGATAAGGTTCAAAAATTATTATAGTCTTTTTTTTTTTAAAAAAAAACTCATTTATATTTTCGTGTGATAACATTTAGGCCGGTAATGAAAGATCAACTTATGAATGGTGTTACTTTGATTGTGGATCGATACGTTTATTCCGCGATGGCAGCATCTGCTGCTAAGGGCTTGGATCTGAATTGGTGTAAAACGAGCTATATACAATTGTTAAGTCCTGATCTAATTTTTTTCTTGAAAGTTGAAACAAATGAAATGGATAATCAACAATTGCCGCAGTTGTCTCTACCACGTGTTAATGATGTTCTTGGAATTGATTCTGATAACGGAAGGATTGCAAAGGAATGGCAAAGAAGGATGCAAGACGCACTCTCTAGATTAGCAGAAGGTCAATGGAAGGTAAAATATCACTCGTTGCTTGTTGAGTTATTTATTTTCTAAAAATAATATTTTGATTATGAGCTTATTACCATTATGTAGATTTTGGATGCACGTAAATCCAATAATATAATTAACGCCCAAATCATCACAGCATCAATCGAAGTTATTGAGCGATGTCGTAAATCCAATATGGGTTATGGTAATATGTTTAACAATACAATCATGTCACAACAGAATCAACAATTATTACCACCACCTATTGTTCCAGCATCTTCCCAGCAACCACAGTATTCTTCTGTTAACCTTAATGGCAGTCCACCGTTATCACATCAGCAGCAAAAAAATTCAAATGTGTTGCCACCTATAGGAAGACATGATGGTTTCTCTAGAAAAGTACACATACAGTTATAGAATAAATTTGTTTGTAGTTATAAATTTCTGCGATTTTTGTTAGTAAGTGTTTTATCTTTTATTCTTTATAAATATTTTTTTTTCCATATTTTTCAATTCCTTTGCACATGGTAAATTTCAAAACAGTTTTTTTTTGTATCAATCAATCAATCCTTTTAAATTCACAAATCCAGATATACATTTTTTTTTCTTGTAAATTTTTTTTCACTCAATCGCGTTGACGCACATTCTTGTATCATGTATCATCAATTTTGTTTAAAATGCAAATATACTTCAAGACATCATTATCATTTAGGTTTCTAATATTTCTTTATAATTTTTTTTTTTTTATTTTTTTTTAGTATTAAAATTTGACTTCTTTGTTATAGTTACAAATTTTTTATATAAATGAGTTTCATAATTTCAATATGAAAATTTTTACATGATAAACGTCAAATCTGCATTCTTCTATATTGAATTAATTTTTTTAATCAAATATTTATATAATAATAATATTCACTAATTTAAAATTTTTTCATTATTTTTAGTTTATATATAAACAAAATAAATAATAAAATAATAAATAATAAAAAATAAATATTATTATTATTTAATCTAATAAAAAACCTTTTTTTTTATCTTAAAAACGTGGTAAAAATCAAGGAGAATGAAGGAAATTTAATATAATCTCTTTTTATTCTATGATTTTCATACCAGAACAAAATGAGGAAATATTGAATGAGCAATATTAAACAAATGAAGACTTAATATGAAAATCCAAATGTTGTGTCAGACAAAAACTTTACGAGAGGATGGAAAAAAAAAAAGGTTTATCCTGTTACAACATTAAAATAATATTTTTTGTTTGTTGTTTTTTCGTCGTGTATCCCACACGGCTTACAGATCACATAATCTTCCCCCCCCCCCCCAATTTTCGACAAGAATTTCAGAACAACCATGGTCTCAGTATCCAATAGGAATTCTAATAAAAATTAAAACGGTTTTATTTGCAGATACACTTTATGTAATCCAAAAGGCATTGATATAATGAAGTTTCTTTTAAAAAAAAATAAAATTAACAAATATCCTCTTTACTCCTTAAGGCTAGACCAATAATAATTTTTAGCTTCTTTTTTGATTTTGTTACACTTTAAGGCTTGTCCATCTGACCTACCACTGGTAATTATCTAAACATTAAGCAGGCGTGCGTGTAATTACGTAGCCGTAGTCACCTGTACTCAAGATCTTGATTTATAAATAATGTATGTGTATATTGTGTTCTTGTTATTTTTTAGGACGAATTAAATAGTCCTGATTCGTTAATTATTACAAACGTTCCAAGAGATTTGAAATAAAATAACCCTTTATTATAATAACTAATTAAGATTAAGATATATAATATAAACCCTAAAATACAAGAAAATAAATATTAACATGTGAAATGTAAATACATATATATAAATGTCGTTCAGAAGATTAGATTAATAATTAATTATCCCTTTTAAAACTAAAAGAATTAAAGGATAATCTTTTTGTTGATTTCCTTTTGTCCTTCTTGGGTGTGGGGGAACTTGCGGTAGATGTATCTCTCAAAATAGAGTCTTTAAACACAGAATCAATGGTATAATTTTGTTCTGCTGAAATTACATCCTTTTCGTCAATTGATTTTATTTCAAAAGTTGATCCTTTTGGTATATGGCCTGATATAAGCGATCCACGTTTCTAAGAAAAAGAAAGATTAAATGTTTTTTTTCAAAAAAGCAAAAAAAAAAAGTGAAAACAATGGGCTGATACCTTTTTAATATAATTTTTCTTGTCAAGGATACATTTTGAAATGTAATATGCTACATTCATTGTTGCCAACTATAAATGTAAAATAAATATTAATAACTTCTTAAAAACAATTCCTTTTTTTTAACATACCATTGGAGGTACTCCTGTCGCTGTCGGGAATACGCTTGTATCAGCCACATAGAGATTCTCAACTTCCCACGTTTCACCCAAAGGATTTACTACGGTCTTGGTTGGATCATCTCCCATCCGACTTGAAATATCATTTTGTTATTATTATTATTAATTAATTCATATATTTTTTAAAGATATATATATATATAATATAATATAGTATAATTACCAAGAACCCATTTGATGTATACTTCCAATACAAGCCTGGTTGGCTGGAACACCAACTTTTTTGACTTTATCCAAGAATTGGTTGAATTTAGGATCGTTAAAAATGTTAACCCCATTTTCTATGATAAAGTCTTCAACTCCAGCTTGACAAGTTCCAATTTTAGAAGCACCAGCGGCTACCAAGATCTTTATCGCGGCCAATAAACCAGAAATCATGCTCTTGGAATCATGTTGAGAAAGTTTATATTCCAATTTTGGTTGTCCATCCGAATCGATAAATATTTTTCCACCATCTCGATCGCGCGTAATGACCATAAGAGGGACGATATGATTATATTCCAACATAAGTTGTTTATGTTGTAATGTAGATTTCCATGGGAAATTGGCAAACATGAAACCTGGATGATGAGATCCGACAATGATTTTAGCCCCATAATTCTCACCATCAACATTTTCTTCGGCGTTAGAAATCGCGGACATGATGGTACCAGAATAAGTTTTAATATCTTTATTTGGGAAAACACCATAAACTGCCGCGGTGGGGTGAATGTGTAAATTCTTTCCAATATTTTTATTCTTTAATCCACTCCTTAATAATAAAGCGGGTGAATGTATGGCACCACTAGCGACGATCACTCGTTTAGCGTGTACCTTGACACGTTTACTATCATTAACGATAACTTCAACGCCGATCACATTTTGTTTCTTTCCATCTTTTTCGGTCAAGATTTTATCAACAAAACAATTTTGTAAAAATTTGGCATTATTCAATTTTGCTTCATTTAACCAAGTCATAACGGCGGTTTGCTTTTCACCATATTTACATCCGAACGAACACCAACCACATTGATGTGGCATTGAAGCAGCATTTTGTGGTATGGTATCAAAATGAAGACCAAGTTTCTTACAGCCATCAATCAAGGCTTGATTACTCGCATTATGAGTGATATTATCTGTATTAGCTCCAAGTCTGGCATTAATGTATTTCATGGTATTACCATATTCATTTTCCATGAAATAAGGAAGACCGAATTTTTTTGCCCATTCCTCTCGAACGAAATATTGCGGTTCCATTGAAGCCGACCAACTTACGGTAGTACCACCACCAAAGTTGGAACCGGCTAGGATGTAAATACTGCTATCTTCTGAGAACATCCCTCCTGACAATTCATATAATTTATTATAACCATCTTGCTGTTCCATTGTGAGTTCTCTTTGATCATAATGATGACCTTTTTCAATCACCAAAACTTTATACCCCATTCTGGACAACCTGGCAGCGGCGACACTCCCACCAGCTCCTGACCCGATTATGACGGTGTCGAATTCTTTAATATCCGAATAATCTTCGGGAACTTCAAGAAAATCATAATCAGGAAATTTGCGAGATGTAAACCTTGGACCATTCGTAGCGGGATCAGCTCCAGGGTACCCAATCGCGGGATTAAACCCATAAGGATTTAACCAAAAGGTAGCGCAGATTAACATTGAAAAACTTTTATAAATCTTTCGAACGGAAGCGGTCGGACTCGTACTCCACTTTATGAAAACAGCTTCTCTTTGCTTTTGAGTTAATTCATGAAAAGGTTTATTAATTCCTATTATTTGACTATTTATTATACTTTTTGAACTCAAACGCTTAAGGATCGCGGAAATTTGTCGAAATTTATGAGGGGGAACGGATTTCAATAAACGATCATTTATTTTATCTATGATATCATTTTGCTTAGATAAATCAAATTTACCAAATTCTTCAACCATCTTTGGATTCTTTTGCATAACTGATGATTTCGTATTGAGTAAAATTTGAAGTTCCTCTTCATCAAGTTCTCCGATGATGGTATTACAAAATGCCAATAGAACCTTTTTTTGCCTTTCATCTAGAAGATAACTTTGATTACTCGTAAGATGACTGATGTCACTTTGAATTTGGGAACTATCTAATGAAAGTCGTTCGGTAGGTCTTTGTTCCGACATGATGAATAAAAAGAGCAGTAAAAATAAAAATAAAATTATTTTAATTTGAGGGTTTTTTTTCTTCAAGAAAAAAAAAAAGAATTGTAAAAAGAAAAAAAAATTTTTTAAAGATCAACCTTATTATAATAGCATCAAATTTCCATTTAATAAATTTTAAGTTAAGATCGATAAATTGAATAACTAAGTTTAGGGACTAAGAATAACCGGAATAACGAAGAATGGTGGTAGTGGTAGATTAAAATGTATTAGGATGATTTTTTATTACTTGTGAAAGAGGAAATGGATTCACAAAATACAAGGGGGGTTGATTTTTGGAAATAGAATGGTTGGTTCTCAACTGATTTTTTTTTTATTAAAAAAAAAAAAGAAAACAAAAACGGGAAATCGTTTTTGTTCAGATCATCCATTTTAAGATGATCAATTATACTTTATGTGGTTTTTCTTTGCGAGATTCCAAAAAAAATAAAATAATAATAAATGCATCACATGATAGAAATATTTGATGTTCAATCATATAATACCTTTTTGAAAACGAAATCAATCTAATTCGGTTATTGAGGTCAAAAAGTCGAAATGGTAGAAATGAGTTTTCTCATATATATATATAAAATTAAAAAAAATTAAAACATGCCAATAATGCTATGTTTCTCATGAAACAACTACCCTTCAACTCAACGCGACTAGACGAATCCATTGAGCAAGTATCATCGATTTTGAATCGGCTGATCATGATTGAATTTTCGGCCGGAATTATAATTTAATAATAAATCATGTGGCATAATGACTTTTATTTCGACTTTGACCTCTAAAGTCGAAATTTTCGACTTTTGGGTTTTAATTTCGACTTCATTTGTATTTCTAATGCAAAACATCAAGAAACACATAATATATAAGCATTTAATAACAGTTTTAATAAAGGTCTGGTCACCTTTTCGAGTTTTTTACATAAAAAAAAGTTACCAATAATTATCAATAATTATGGAGTAGAAGACCTATTTTAAAGGTTTTTTTTTTTCCAGTAATTTCCCTATTTTATTATGGTTAAATTAGGTTGATGATTGAAATTCTCATATGAAAGCCAAATACATTTCACTTTTAAATTAATTGACAATCGACTTTACACCGTATTTACTAATATCATTTAACAACGAAGAATCTTCAAATCCTTTACCGTACAGATTAATGATTAACGATTTAAAATTTCTATGATTCTTAATATAATCGAAAATCACTACTAAAAAATTACGGTTAATGTTACCATCAATTTCCAAAGATTCCAAAGACGCGTTACAATTTGACAATAAATTCTCGAAATGTTCAACGGTAAGACCCTTAAACGTATATAATCCAAAAAGGCTTAAATACTTTAAGGAATTCGGTAAATTCTTTCCCAGGTCATTTAGAATTTGACCCGTTGACTCCCTACAACAACTAATCTTTAAGGAATTCAATTTTAACCTTATGATTAGATCATAAAAGATCTTTTGTGTTTGCAAATTAACCCCAACGATTTCCAAGTTCGTTAAAGATTCGGAACAATTATAAGAAATCAATTCGGCTGCTTCCTTATCCAACTGATTGGTCTTCAATTCATTCAATGATTTACCGATAGTTGAAATGATTAATCCGGGTGGAAATTCATTACTAATAAATTTTAACTTTTGTAATGAAATCGATGAATCGGATAAAATATGAACATTATGCATCGATATACCCCTACATTTTAATAAGTATAATGATTTTAACGAATCGATACTTGATAATCCCTCCAATAGAGAATTATCGGATAGATCGGTGTCATGTATTTCCATTTCGGACAAAAAACTAAAATCGTGACTTTTCAGATTTAAGAGGATATCATTAATTATGACATTTTGTTTTGGAGTTAAAAGTTCAAGTTTTACGAGCCTTTGTTGTTGACTTATTATTTCTTGAATTTTGGGTAAATTTTGATGAGCAAACACCAACAAATTGGAAATCCTAACATGTTTAATCTTATGACACCATTTCTTTATTATGCTCAATAAAAAGTCGAATGAATGTTGATTGACCTCTAATCCGATGGAATTATCTTTTAGGTATATTATCAACCAAGATAAATTTGATAAATTTGAAGAATTCATATTATCGAAAAGTTGTTGGTCAATGGGATCCTTTATTTTAAGCATATCGATGGAAATCCCTAACGTTTTGATTTTACTCTTTTTAAAGAGCATGGAATATAACGAGTTAATTAATGGGTGTTGTATTTCACTCTCATCAAATTGATACATGTTCCGAATTCCATTTAAGCGATCCTTCGTGTACTTGTGATATTCTAATAGAATCCAACATAAGGTTGAATTATATAAAGGACAACTATACATCATTTCCTCCAAGAAGCATGCATAATCAAATAATGGCTTTGGAAAATTCCGAATTTCTACACCTTTGTTCGTTAAATATCTCCTTTCATCCTCGGTTAAGCATGCCAAATATGTTCGGATTAACAAAGCTGATTGATATTGATTAATCTCTTCCAACGAATCATTACTCGTGAACGGATTTTTCCAAAGTAAAGGGATTGCTAACCTACATATGGTACGATTAACGAGAATACATGAAAATAACGTATTTCTATCCTGTCGTAAAAATCTCAATACAATTGGAAAGATATCATAATGCAACGCAGGCATGATCCCGATGTTTTTTGTGAATTTTTGTGAGGTATTTTTAAAAAAAGATTTTTTGTCCAGTTAATAAAGAATATTTTTTAGAAAGTGATTTATAATTTTAAATGACGTTCCTATTACAACTTGGTCTTAACTTTAAAATTCTTTAAGGAAATTCATTATTTGACCAAAAAAAAGCTCGTATTTTATAAAAGAATGTGTTAATGATGACATATATATGTAAGCAAAATGACGGGATATTCAACGGTTAAAAAAAAACGAGTATTCTAAGTTTGGCATACAAACCCGAGGAAGGTTTTTTTTTTAAATCGAGTTAAAATGATAATCGAATGTTATACGTAATAATAATGAACAATTTTTATTTCTTTTTATTCTTCATTATGAATCTAAATTAAAATTTACTTGTTTGGTTACGATTGCTATAAATACAAGATTTACTTTTTAGACTTAATATTTTTTAATGTTAAAAAAGCGATTTACATTCCGGCTGGAATTGACATAAGTTCAGCCAAATTGACATTTTACAGCGGATGTTGGAACCTATGATAAGCTTCCATATTCTTGATTCCATCTTTGATACAATTCCAAGTCACAATCACTAACACTTGCTCGGACTTTAACGAATGTTTTTGAATTTTATTAAAAATGTTTATCGTACTGCAATGTCAACTTTATGAAATTTTACCTTGAGTTATTGCATCTAAAAAATCTTGATAATTTATTGGACGGACATCGTCAGCTATTTGTTAAATACTACATATATTAGAAGAAAATTTTAAGTTTATTTATAACTCGATGTTCATACAAACCTGAAATGGTCCTAATATCGCCTATTATGCGTATAGGCCCCAAAGCGGCTTCTATTATATTTTGATAGAATGTTGTAAATACATTACAAATAATTTATGCATTACCACAATTGTGCAAGTTGATTTCCCTTTACCTCGACAAAGTCCATCCATATCGGATCCGGAATATCCTATTTAAATAAACCAATAAACTCATTCAAATACCTATATTTATAGCGTAGAAAACTTTTCCATAACCATCATTACCCGCTGTTTTCCCACAGATATCACGGATTTGTTCATCTGTTAAAAGATGCTTTTGCTTTAATAACAAATTCTTCACGATTGTAAATCTGCCCTCGTTTTCTGGTAGAGGAATATAAAGTTTCTTACGAAACCGGCGTCCTTATTAATTAATAGAAATTTGTAAATATCATATAATGAAAATTAAAAATTAAAGAATTGAAGAATTAATATCAATTACGCGCAGCTTCATCGATTTCCTGTGGTCTAATTGAATAAAAAATAATTGTCTATAATATGAGGTCAAGGTCATACGACTTAACGGAACAATTTTCAAATCTTTCAAACCTATTTGTTGCACCAACGATAAGAATTCGATCCTCCTCTAAGCTCGCAGTTTTAACACCATCCTAATAAAAAAAAAGAAAGTTTCTTAAATAAAAAAAGATAATAAATGAATACATAAAATTTAATATCTACGATATACTGTTTTTACATACAAATTGAACAAGAAATTCGGTCTTAATCCGTCTTGATGACTCATATTCACCATCAGTCCTTTGTGTTAGTAACGAATCAATCTATAGTATCAAAAAATTATCAACTATGTTTTGACATTTGCGTAAATAGAGAATAATTATTCAACTTTACTTCATCCACGAAAACTACAGCAGGTTGATTTACTCTTGCAACCGCGAACAAAGCTCGAACCTGATATAATTCATTTAAATAAATATCAACAATAAAAATTGAAACAGAGAATATTTTGCGTAAATTACCATTTTTTCACCATCTCCAACCCATTTTGAAGTCAACGATGAGGAGCTACAATGAAAATGATCATAAGAGTTCCAACTTTGAAAATATTATTCATGGTAAAATGATAAATCTTAACCTAATGCTAAAAAATGTGGAACCGGATTCGCTGTAAAGAACAATAAATGAAATGAAATGGATTTTATATATAATTAACAATGAATCCTTGAACAAAACACCGAAATGGAATTTATTTCTACAGAAGTTTCCAATTTCTACCCAAAGAGTTCTATTAATGCGAACTTTCTATAGAAATTATAGTACCTAGCAATGCACTTTCCAATTAAAGTCTTCCCTAAACATGTACTTTAGTGAATTCCTTATTATTTTAAAAAATCCAAATTTTCAAAAAATTTTAAGATTCGTTACCCGTCCCTGGAGGACCAAACAGTAATAACCCTATATAAATAGGATTTTGTAAGATAAAAATATGATATAAACCGTACGCAGCTATTTGCTAAGCCAACCTTTAGGTGGACTTCTTAATCCTGTAAAAATGTCACTGAAATCATATGAAGTTTGTTGTTTATTTAAACAAAGTTTATAGTTCTTTCAATTAAATAAAAGCGATTTCTTACGGTCTCAACAATGGCCATGTTACGGCCTCTTGAATCGTTTTTTTCGCGTGTTCTAATCCAGCGATATCATTCCAAGTAATATTTGGAGACTGTTCCATGATCTAAAAATTTTCAAGTTTATATTTGGCACCCAATTATGTAAAATAATATATATAATATAAATTTACCTCATTTTGTATCATTTCAATCATTTTTGGATCAATATTTTTTAGTCTTTCTTCGTCACTTTCAACATTAGGATTGAGTTTTGTTCGCTTTGTACTATAAAAGTAAAATAAGTTAAATGTAACTTTCTTACACTTTAGAGTGCGTATTATTTGATATGATCGTACATACAAATTTTTACTTCCGTTATGCTTTTTCGTCTCTAATAATGGGGACACGAATTTTGGTAACTTATGATCTTGATTTGATGGTAAGGTAATAGATTTCTTTTTGAATGTTCCTGGTGGATAATTTTGATTAGCAGAACATTGTTCTCGTCGGTTTTGTGGCGTGTAAAACCTTTTTTTTTGATTGTTAACATTCTAATAAAAAAGTATTTCTATTATATCTTTTAAAAAAAAAAATAAATAAATTAAAGACTAATGTTAAGCAATTTACCAATTGTTGATTAGCACTGATAAATGAGCTTGGTTGAAAATCTTCTTCCTCGTCTTCACAATTGTTATCATTATAATTGGAAGACGTTTGATTATTATCGGCTGGGTCATTAAATCCTCGCTGTAAAACAATATATCGATATAACATTATATATAAATATATTATTTTACGAGTAAATTAATAAAGTTCGATCATACCTTTCCTGATGTAGCTAAACCTTCAGAAAATTCTCCGAATCTGTTTCCATTATGATTATAATTATTGTAACTTCTTGTAACGCAACCTAAAGGTTGATCTTGCTTCGTCGTAATTAATTGTTGTAGCATTCCAGCTCCTTCGTTTGCGGTTGTTTCTTTATCATAATTAAGTAAAAGACTTAAGTCTAGCTGTTCTGTAATACCATATTCATCATCAACAAATGATTTCTAAGAATTTTTTTTTAAAAATAAAAATTAATATCTTAGAAGTTGTCATTAAAGACAGTTTATTTAATCTTACCAAGTTTGGAAGATTATCCAATGAATTAAAATTTTCACTCACTGATTGCTGAAGTCTTTTATTAACTTCTTTCTCAATAATCGAATCAATAATTGAAGGGCCAATACCACTGTCACTTTCGTTGCTTCCATTTCCAATCCAATCATAATTTCCGGCTACATTTTCCATAATTTGAGATTTATTATGAGACGAAAAATCGTGACTTTCATGAATTAGTAAAGAAAGTGCCTTGCGATAATTCGTAAACTCATGGTTATCATGACGAGACTTTATTTGTGGTTCTTGGAGTGAAGAGATAGGAATGGAAATATGATCGTTTCCGCCTCCATATAAGAATTGTTCAAAGTAATGTTCTTTCAGACAGCTTTTATTCATTCTGTTCTTGGAAGAAGGTGGTTTAATAATTTTGAATTTAAGTATATTTTTAAAGAATGATGAGTTTATGATAAATAGTTTAACTCATAATTAATCGACGTTACATATTTAAAAGTCAGTACGAAAGTAAATTTTAATTCAATTTATATGAATACTTTTCCATATTTTATTATTATAAAATATATTAATTTATTCGATAAAATTCCAACTATTGAAGATCTAAACCACCATACAGATTATTAGAGATTAGTTCTCATCATAATGATTTCAAACATTACGTCAACCTTCTTTGATCTTTAAAACCCAATTTTACAAAGTGACCCCTCAAATTTGTTAATTACAAATCATGACGAACTTCTAGTAAAATCTTCAATTCAAATCTTTAATCCCTCGACACTTTCTATTAATAAAGATATAAAATCATTGTCTATAAATTGTGATAATTGAGAAAACATATTATTAATCAATATTTTGCTTTTAAAGATTCCATATCATTAGCCTTATTATGTTTATATTTTTTCCTATAATAACAATCATATAAAACTATTATAATAAAAGCAAAGAAAAATAAAAAAAAAATGCAAAGAAGTATTGTTTCTACAATACAAATTAAATTACATTCAAGTTTCACTTCACCATCTCGACTAATTTTGAAAACGTTTGGATTGGATACATAAGAGTTGACCGAAGAAGAGAGTAAAATCAGTAGAATTATTCTTACGACGGTTAAAAAAGAATTTTTTTTTAAGAATTTTGTTATTGAATCCATGATTATTTTTTTTCTTCTCTTTTATGTGCAGGTGATTTGAACAAATTTTTATAGGAATTCGCTCAGTTTGAGCATATATTTTTCTTGTAGTCAAAAAAATTTTTTTAAACCACATTATATGGCTGTGTAAAGGATTTGTTTTTGAATTTATCATAAAAAAAAAAATTTTGTAATTTCCCACGGTTCGATGAAATTGAAGTAAGCCACATTCTTTTTTAAAAAAAAAAAAAACGGATCATCGGCACATAGCCACCATTATTTAACGAAAACATAAAAAATAATAAGAGCGTATTAAAATAATATCATGTTTTCATGTTGAGCCACGATATTGAAATTTTAAAGGACATTTTCCTTTAGATATAAAAAAAAACCGCGATAATTTTTTTTTAATATCTTCTTTAAATTTATCCTGTATATACAAGGATCAAAACTACACCATCTTTTCTGGTAATTCTTTTTTAAAGCAAAAACAAACCGTGTTCTGTTATAATGTATAATCCTGTAAAGTTCCCATTTAATTTTAATTACTTTGAAAGAATTAAAATCAGCCACGTTATCTTGTTAAATTTCACTTGCCACACAATTTACCGACATATTTAAATTATGAGTGTATTTACTAATGAATTAGAGTTTAAGATCAAATAAAACTTATCGTGTAGGATGTTCATATTGGAGCTTTGCTATTAAAATTCATATGATTTACTATGTCTCGTAACCTGATTTCAAATAACAAACGACCTATGTTCATTTTGTTAAACATAATAACTTAATGTGGTATTATCATGAGCATCCCTGAAAATTATGTAATTATGATTTTGTTTTCATCATAAGCGATAATAACATGAATCTTTCTTTTCAATTCAAATAATTAATTATATCAGTACCAAATGTTTAGTCAATATTTAGATGGTTTAAACTTTAAATTTATAAAGTGTTATTAATTATTAGAAATTATAATTTTGCTTTCTTTTATAAGAATTTATGTTCGCATATATTAGCATAACTTACTATATAAAGCAGGCATAATTTGAGTTTAGTGCAGCAGAAAATGGGCCACCCTAACCTGACCTGTCTAAAAAAGGAAACTAAACAATTAATTTAAAAAAATATTGATACATTTTTACATTTGATTATTTTTCAAAAAAAAAGATACTAATATAATTATTTTAACTGCAG